TTGGGTGGGTGTGGACCCGTTTATCGTAGGAGGAAGCCCCCGAGGGCCCCGAGGCGAGTCGAACGGTGTTCAAGACTACCCATTAGGCCCAATACAGACCAGGGCGCCCACAAGGCCCTCAGAAGGCACCACGAAGGCACCGCGGAGCCCCAGGCAAGCCCAAGAAAACAAAGAACACAACGAGCAGCCTTCGAGATGCCCCAAGCTACCTCCAAGAAAAAATGGAGGCTTCACCTAGAAGCTTTGACCCACAACCCAGGCACGGCAATGGGATGGGCGGAAAGCCATTATATAAGTTCTCACGCACAGGTTGGGAGATTGTCATTCGGGCACGTGGATGGGCCATCCATCTGATAGGCGCGACGCTGCCACTCCGACCACATTGAGTCAGAACACCTCTCAAAATACAAGATCTAAGGACATGCTATCATCGCATCGCCCCTGCCGCTGTCACAGCGGCCGAAGCGTCGCAGCCACCAGCAAGACTGAAAAAAAACAGTTCTTCTCGGGGTCTCTCTTGGACGGCGGGCGAAGGAGGCCGGGGGGTCAGGGGGGGCTTGGATCGGGGCCCGGACCGCGGACGGATGAAGGGCGGCCCCGAGCGCGCCCCCCCCCGACATGGCCCCCTCGACGCGCCGCTGGTTCGCCCCGAGTGGCGTGAGTGGGCGGGCCCTGCGAGAGGATGGAGGGCGCCAGTCGGGCGGCCGAATAAAGGTCGGAGGACTCTTGAACATTCTCGCCCTCGGCCTTGATGGGGCCTCTGATGGCGTTGTTTCGGGTCTCTTGGGGGCCTCTCGGGGCTTCTCGGGCGTTTTTTTTGAACCTCTCGGGGTCTCCCGAGGGCCTCTCAGAAGCAAAGAGGCTAGAATATTCGCTTCCTGCTCTGCGGCAGCCGCCCCGCCCCCTCGGGCGAGGCGGAGGGCATCGTTAAAATGCATGGCCCACGGGGCGGCGGATGGGGGGGAGGGCAAGAGGCGCGAGGGGGGGCAGCAACGGCAGCAACGGTGCCAGCGAAACAAATCGGCGATGCCCCGAGCCGCCGATTGTTGGGTCCTCGATCCTCGATTTGGATCCATGCGCCCCACCGTTATCATGTCCCTCACCCCTCACACCCTCATCATTATCCTTGTCGTCGTCCTCCCTTCTCCTCCCCTTCATTATCCTTCTCCGTTTCCGTGTCGCTATCATTTTCCTCGCCCTCATCATCATCAACGTCATCATCTTCAGTACCATCAACATCGTTACCCTCATCGCAGTCATCATCGTCACATCCTCATCGTCAACATCGCCATCATTGTCCTCCACATCACCATCGCCATCATCATCAGTAACAAAACCATCATCATGCCCTCATCCCCCTGCTCATCCGAATCAGCATCAGCATCATCGGCAGCATCGTCATCATCGTCATCATCAGCATCGTCATCAGCATTGTCACCACCATCATCATCATCAACAACATCATCATCATCATCACCATCGTCATCCTCATCATCATCGTTACCATCATCCTCGTCATCCTCATCCTCGTCATAGTCCTCATCATCACCCTCGGGCGTTTCGCCGACTACGTGAACGTCGAGGGCGCGTGCCTTCAAGGCCACCGCCCGCCGCCGCCGGGCTGGGAAAGGGGATTGGGGGGAAAAGAGAAGGGCAAGGGCGAGGGGGAGGAGGGGGGGAAAAGATGAGCTGGAGAAGTGGGAGAGGGAGGGGGAAGGAAAAGGGAGAAGAACCTAGAGGAGGAGCAGGGGCAGGAGCCAGAGCACAGAGCAGGAGGTTAGAGAAGGGAGAAGGACGGGCGAAGAGGAGTAGGAGGGGGAGGGAGGGGAGGAGGAGGAGGAGGATGGAGGAGGAGGAGGAGGAGGAGGGAGAGGAGGCCAAAGCAGACGATGCGCACGTCGCCATGTCCCGCAGGTCGCGGCGACGGCCTGGTGCCGTCGCCGCGTCGATGATTGGCCAAGCACGGGCACGGGCACGGGCGCGGGCGACGGCCTGGCGCCGTCGCCGCGACGGGCGAGAGCACGGGCGTCGGCCCGGGCTGGACGGGCGTCGGGCTGGGCCGGACCGGGCCGGGCCAAGAGCACGGGCGTCGATAACGATTGGGCCGGGCGGGCGTCGATAACGATTGGGCCGGGCGGCCGATTGGGCCCTCGAGAGGCCCCAGGCAGGGGCCCAGGGCCCCCTCGAGAGGCCAGTTGCTGGACATCCTCATCCTCCTCGTCTTCCTCCGCCTCCTCCTACTCCTCATCCTACTCCTTTTCCTCCTCCTCCTCCCTCCTCTTGTTCCTCTGCCTTCTCCTCGTCCTCGCTCTCCTCCTCCTCCTCCTCCTCCTCCTCCCCCTCCTCCTTCTCCTCCTCCTCCTCCTCATCTGCCTCCTCCTCCTCGGCATTGGCAGAGGCTCAATCAGGCCTCCGCCGAGTCGGCGGGGCTGTCCTCCGCCGCCGCCTGGATATTATCCTGGCCGTCGTCGGCGCTGAACTTGGCCCTCTTCTTCGCCCCGTCGTCGCCTCCCGCGAGCTTGTTCAACTTTGCTGCCAACCGTTTTTTCTCTGACGAGGCTATGGCCTTGGCCTTCGACTTCTTTGCTGGAGCTCCCCCCTTCTTGGCGCTGGCCTTGGCCTTCGACTTCTTTGCTGGGGTCTCGATGGCACCATCGTCGGCAGCTTCTTCATCTGGGTCGTCCTCTGCCTCCTCCTCATCATCTTCCTGCTCTTGTTCGTCATCCTCGGCGCACTCATTGCCATCATGGCCCTCGTCATCGTGCGGCTCGTCCTTCTCCGCGAAGAGGGCCGCCAACGCAGGCTGGTAGATCGGCGATCCCTCCTGTTGAATGATCTCCCACGTCTTTGTCTCCAGGAACTCGATGACAGCCGTCTTGTGCGCCTCTGTGAGGCAGAACCCTATGTACGGCAACATGTGAACGACGCAATACAGCGCCCTGCCCCCGGTGCCAACCGTCAAGTCGACGTGGCCGACTGCTGGCCACGAGTGAGATACTTCGGAATCCAGAACCAGGGGATGGCAGTGGTAGAACGGAGGCTCCTTCCCGTCGCCGTAGTCAGGCTTGTCGGTCTTATCCTTCGTCGCGCCCCCAACTGCGATATTCGCAGCCTTGCCGATGATCTCCTTCACCTGCTCCGTCGGCACACGTAACATGTCATCTGAGTTGTTCCACTTGGCGGCCTGGATGTATCCGATGATCTCCCCCTGGTCTGTTCCCTCGAAATACTTGTGGTCTTTGCCAATCACGCGCGAGGCTGAGGCAGTAATCAAAGATAAATGCTCGACCTGGGCCACTGGCCCCACGCTCCCACGGTTACGGGACAATCGAAGTCTTAACGATTTCTCACTGTACATACATTTTACCACTCTCGAAGACTTCGTCATGGCAGCCCCCTCGACGTTCGTGAAGGGCTTCCCGGTGAGCTGCACATCGCTGCCGTGCTTCATGCCGTCGTAGATCACGTACAGGTCGCCGTCCTTGAGCGCCTCTGCGGCGCCGCCGCGTGCCCGGATAGCGGCCCCGATCATCTTCACAGCGTGGCCGCCCGCGTTCCTCAATGGCGGAACCCTGACGTGTGGTTGTGAGTTCGCACGGCCAGCTACTTTTGGATCATAAGTGATATGCACGAAAGAGTTGCCAATCTTGTTGCCCCGATCATCGTGATCGGTGTCCCCGGTGACCGTTGCCACGTTGCTCTCTGCGATGAGGGCGC